TGTCTAATAGAAAACGAAAAGGAGGCATACATCAAACGGTATGAGCAACATGAAGGAATCAAGCTGGAAAAGGATAAAATAGCAAAGAATCCTGGTTTGAGAGCTGTCGCAAAATTGGCCCTGAACTCTTTTTGGGGGAGGTTCGGGATGTGCGAAAATGTAAGCAGGACCACTTTCGTGAGGAGCACACCCGATATGAACCGTTTCCTTGCTGATCCTAAAATCAAAATGAACGGAATGTGCATAATCAACGAATCAGTCATGGAAATGACATGGGGATACAGAGACGAGCATCTGCCTCAGCAAACGGCAACAAACATTTTTGTTGCAGCTTTTACTACATGTTATGCTCGAATGAAGCTTTACTCTGCATAATCAACGAATCAGTCATGGAAATGACATGGGGATACAGAGACGAACATCTACCTCAGCAAACGGCAACAAACATTTTTGTTGCAGCTTTTACTACATGTTATGCTCGAATGAAGCTTTACTCCACCCTTCAGCAATTAGGCAAGGCCATGTTATACTATGACACAGATTCTGTCATTTACGTCAGTGATGGAACAAACGATCCACCGTTGGGAGATTTTCTCGGGGAGTTCACTGACGAATTGGAAGGTGATCACATCGTCAATTTCATTTCGGGTGGACCAAAAAATTATGCATACAGGACATCGCATGGAAAAGAGTCCCTTAAAGTTCGGGGCTTCACACTCGATCACGCTGCCTCACAAAAAATAACGTTTGACACCATGCATCAACTTATTTCAAACTTCCGATCTGCGAAGGGAGGTGCGAAGAGACGAAAGGTTAAAGAGGCGGAGCATATTACCATCATCAATCCACAAAAAATCATCCGTGAAAAGAAAGGGAAAAGACTAATCACTGTAGAAGAGAGAAAGAGGTATCAGGTTGTATACTTGCTAAGAGACGAAAGGTCCTAGAGGCGGAGCATATTACCATCATCAATCCACAAAAAATCATCCGTGAAAAGAAAGGGAAAAGACTAATCACTGTAGAAGAGAGAAAGAGGTATCAGGTTGTATACGACAAGAGGGTTCTTCAACAGGATTTCACCACATTACCATATGGTTTCTAACTCGCCCAGGTCTTACCGTGGAGTTACTTCGGTGAGTCTCGCTCTAGTAATACACTATCTACCATCATTCCAGTAGTCTAAGAGGGTCTTTTCTTTACCCCGTTCAGGTCTCAGAAGCGTCACACCCCCATTGTAAAGTGTATATTTGTACATACATTTGCCTGCTTGAGGAGCGAATTGTGACACGTAGGAAGGAGTCCGCTGGCTGGTCAAACAAAGAAACCTACGTGGATGATCGTTCGCTCTTAGGGCACCAGCTAGAGAGCAGATGCTAGAAACCGGACTGCTCGGCAAACGGACTCTCCGGTTTTAGTCGATCCCATTCAAATAATTATATTTTGATTCCCACTCGTCAACAAGTGTGCAACTCTTCCGCACTAGAGACGTGAGCAGAAGATGAAAAACACAAACACGCACGCATAGGAGATTCCTCTTACGAAGCGAAAAATATCCCTCACCGAGAGCATACACTGTGTCCATTTGCATACTGAATCCTACTCTCCCTCAGGGCGGAGCAGACGACAGGCTGGAGGGGCAGCCCCTGACGTCACGGTAGCCCCCTTACCCCTCTCCACGTAAACAACGGTCTAACTCCCTCCGGCGCCGGCATCCCTTTGGGCGCCATACGGGGGTTATATCTCTCTGACGTCAAAGCTAATTCTGGGAGTGGGGATGACGCTAGTGACATCCCTCCCAGCCCGTGACGGGAGAAATTCTCGGGGAGAACATCCCGAAAGGGCTGGTGGTTGCGTCACGCCGGAAATTCCTTGGAACGGAGAAGGCGCGCGGAGCCCTCCGCGGTACGGCAGATGCCGGGCAGGCCCGTCGCCTTTCTCCGCCGATTGCACCTCTAAGTGCCAGGCGATCCCGGATGACGAATGTAGAACGGGGCTTTCCTTTCTTCCTCGGCTTCGATTGCGACTGCCTTTCTTTTCGCCGGCTGGTCGGTCGATTAAGGTTTCGGACGGGTTAAAAATGTAAACCAGAAAATTTGCTGCCCTCGGTTCCATGCTGTCGAATGGACTTCGTCTGGGATGGGGGGAAGGGGACTAATCGATGGGACATGCCATGATTAATGGGATGGCAGTTTCGATCGATTAATGGCGAGTGCTGGATTGAAGGGGTCCGGTGGAGAATTTTTTATTTCGGACCTGCCCGGTTCTTATGAAATTATTTCCGGGGGCTTGGGTCACCGAATGCCGTTGCTGATTCGATTCCGTCGGTAATGCGATTATTTCATCTGCATCGGTTGACTCGGCGGGCTTTCCGCTGCGAAATAATCCGGTTTGTAACGGGTAGCTCGGTCCAGGAGTACGTGTCGCCCTATTCGCAATTGGGGCATGACTCTTCCCTACTTTCTATATTTTTTTCTTTTTTTTTATATATAATTTTTTTTTGCTTTCAAGTAAATGACAAAAAGTGTGGGTTGGAGGGAAAAAAATTATGTAGGGGGACATCCATCTGTCATTGCCCTCTATTAATGTTTTGGGACGAAAGCAGCAAAAAATCCAGCAAATGACGGCCCCTGCCCCGGATTTTTTTTCCCTCCCCAGGATCCTCTCCCCTTTGTGGAAGGCGGCTCCTGTGGTGCCTATAAATATTGCCTAATAGTCTTGTACGATCCCCGACCGCCGGCGGCGGGGATGCTGTTCCCGGCGGACTCATTAATAATACGCTTCCCCTCTAATGAAATTCCGGAACTCCAGGTCGTATTTCGGTTGATCTTTGACATTTTGTTCCGGACTTGCATGCCGAGCGGAATAGCGCGGTTTGCGGCGGTTTTCGGAGTTTTGCTGAGTTTCCATGCGAAACGGGGTGTTGTCGAGCGGCAACATTGCTTTAATTGCATTGCGCCGACCTTAATTGGGTTGCATTCCGCGTCACACGACGGAGAAGGATGATCCGGGAAATGAGATAATGAAGATATGAAGGAAATACCTTTTCAAGTGTCACGTCTTTTAAATTGTATTTCGATTTTGAATTTAAAAAAAACGATTGTTTTGAGAGTACGTAATTATTAGCGTAGAGGTGAAAAGGGTTACGGTAGCAGAAGAAGGAACTGCGCATATGAGGTAAATGGTGCATTCACAATTACCTGGACTAGGCAGTTCATGTCGAACGTATTTCACAAAGAAATATCTGCAAGAAAGGGGAGAAAGGGAGGAAAAAGGGGAAGGAAGCGGGCGGCTGAGCGTGAGTCTTTGGCGCATATTGTGTACCAGCTGGCAGTGAGCCAGCCAGTGGGTAGAGTCCTCCCCGGGCCTCCCTATCGATCAGCAGGTTGCTTCCTCCCTTTCTCCCCTCCCCCCCTCTCCCCTTCGATCCCTCCCCCCCCACGTCTCATTCCTCTTGAACCACGTGTTCTCTTCTGGGCATTCTCGACTCCTCGTTGATCGGAATGGGGAGTGTTTTTGGATTGATTGGCGTTGGGGCCGCCAACCCGAAGACGAATGACAGCTGCTGAGGCTGATACATTTTTCTTGATATTTTCTTCCCTCTTGTTTTTTAGGGATTTTTTTTCTTCTTGCATAAGACTTCATTCAATGCATATATAAACTCATGTCGAGTTTTGTTGCTTGTTTTTCTTTTGTTCAAAGTTCATTTGTAAATTCTTTATACATTCAGGTATTATATTCTTGTTGTGCGTATGTGGCGCTTGAGAGTTTAGTTCGTAATTCACTTATGTTCATAGCGTCATTTGTCTTCTCGTATTTCGGTCGTACTTCAGTTGTCAGATATGATCCTGTTCGTAAGTAGCGCATAATTGCTAATTAATGTAGGAAATTCCTGTGATTGAACAATCGCATAATTCAGGAAGAAGATGCCCCACGTCACTGCTAATTTCGTGTTTTCGCAATTGTAGGCTGCCGGTATTCGTTCCGCGCGCTCCTATGACTTCATGCTCGAGAGGTTCTTTCAGCGATTAAGGAAGCACGGAATTGCCTCCTCCGGGAATCGTTTCCGCGAAGGGCTCCGCCGTTGATGTCATCTCTATTTCCGTGAGCCGAAGCTCAATTTTTTTGTGCTCCGGAGTTTTCATCCATGGAGTCATGAAATCATAAAAGGGGAGGAAAGTTGGCAAGAGTATTTCTTGTAAAATGTTTGTGCTGAATCTTCACAACCTTCAAGACCGCTTTCACATGGAAATAATTTTATCGAATTCATTTTCGACGCATGGAATCACGTGGAAAATCTTCTACTTAAGGTGGCGCTTAGATTTGGATTGAATTCTTGTAGGTACCGGGAACGAAGCTCGCGGCCGGAAATAGTTTTAAAAAGCGACGAAACCCGAAGTCAGAAAAGCGTGACCATGCGAGACAGACGAAGAACTGGTCCCGCTCTGTCCGTTCGTGGATGGAATCCATCCATTGCAATGCGGGGGAAGGACTGCGCGGGGGGAAAGACGGTGGGGGGAAAAAGGCATCGGAGTGAAACGTAGAAAACCGTGAGCGAGGGAGAAGCGGCGCTCTGGCTGTCCCAGTTCGAGGCATGGGGGTAGATGACCTTCATTCTCGGGCCAGAGACCTGCGCGGTGTGCCTTCTCGCGCGAAGGCGTATTGCGAGTGTGCGGATGATTGTGTGATATATTTTATTACTTTATTCTCGCAGCGTTTCCCGGGGATGACTCCCACAATTTTTACTTTTTTTTTTACTCACGTAACTTGCAGATTCCATCGTTATATTGAAAGTTATTCGCTTTATAATGGGATTTGTTTCCAATTCTAAATAAGTAAAAAAAAAATTTTTTCGATCCAAAAAAGAGTTTTATCATGGTTTCCAAGCTACTGACCATGTTTTACCGCTTCGAGTGTTGTTGTACATTTAAGGTGTGAGTCGTGTTATATTTTACTTGAATTTTATTCCATGATCTTCCAGCTTCTGGTGTCGCGGTTGATGGATGCTGTTCGCCGGTCGCAACCGGAAGTGTCGCCCGGGTCGCTCCCGGGTGTCACCCTTCCTCACCCTGACCCCTGAGGCCATCCAGGCGGAGATCAAGAGCTGGGTCATCAACAAGGGGCTCGACGAGACTCCGCTCCACCGCGCCGCCCGACTGGGATACTACGTAAGGGGGTCATTTCTGTGTGGGGGTCTGATTGGTTGATTCTGTTTAGTTAGAAAAAACCCTACAGAGTTGAATAGTGTGCATTGAAATAACCAGTAAAAAATTACTTTTTTTCCCGAGAAATGAATTTCTCTGTGGATAGGATGTTTGATAGGAAAAAGAAGGAAAGAAATGAGCTGGATCCTTTGAACCGAGACGCTCCTAGAGTAAAAGTTTGTTTCTTTCACTCGGGAGACGAAAGATTGTCGTAAACGGAATTCGCCCATGGAAGGCAATTTTTTTCTTTTCCTCGTGAGAAACGTCTTGGAGTCTCTTCTCAATTTTTTCACTTTGCGAGAGCAGGATAGACTACTCTAGTTGAATCACATTGGATGGAGCCGAGAAGAAGGAAAGTGTGTTAGGAGTTTTTTTTTTAATACCGGACATGAGGCTGCATCGCCAGGAGACGAATCAGAGTCGAGTAGTTACCGTTGGTTTGAGAAACGTATTGCCTAGTTGAGACCTTGTTCCCCCAGGACATCGGGCTGTACTGCCTGGAGACGAAGCTCCTCTCCTATGGAGCAGATCCACTGCTTGGGACATATTCGGGCCTGACTCCGGTGGCCTTGGCGAGGGAATCGAGGATCATGCAGTCGCTCCTACAGGACCATCTGGCTGACGTCCAGGGGAAACCCGCCCCTCCCTGGCAGTTTCCCTCCACTCTTGGTGAGAAGAGCCTCTGTCCGATCAGACTTTCACTTTCCTTTTGTGGAATTTGCTGCACGAGTGACACTTTCACAGGTGTTTCTCGGTGTTGGTATAGTGAAGCTCTGTGCAAATATTATAATGAAGGTTTCAGCAAATGCCAGAGTCCCTTGTCAGTCTTGCATATGCATCATCTCTTGACTTGGAGTACTGTTGTCCCTAGTTCTGTAATGTACATCTCATGTACTGCGGTAGTCAGTCCAAATGATGCCCTTTCTTTTGGAGCCTTTAAATGAAAACAGTAAGATTGGTTTTTCTCCTGATATACATTGGAAAATGTCTTAGAAATTTTGGAGTGTGGATTTGGTTTGTTTGGTGTTGTAAGTAGAAAAGAGGAGTTCATTGTAAATGGCTAAGATGGCTAAGCCAGACCTTCTGCTGGAATTCTGAACCTTTCCTTTCATGAAAGCACTCATTGAGATCTGTCATTTTCTTGCTACAGTTTACTTTATTAATGAAATCAGAATGATGGTATTGAGCTCCATTCATGTTGCAGCTTAGCAAGTGCACACTTTCCAAGGTTCACAGATTTACCACGAAAAGTGATGAAGCTATTGCATTTGCAATTTCCTGTTTGAAAATGTATGGCCTGTTGTAGAGACCAATATATTTCACAAATTCTTGTCTTCAAAGAAATTAAACATTATGTGACAAAATATGATAAAATTTTCGGGGTATTTTGGGCAATTGAGAATGGTAAAATATTAAGAGAGAGGTGTGTTGAGTGGTGTATGTGGGCAGATGATTGGCTCTTTCTTCGAGTCCGCCCCCCCCCCCACCCCCGTCTCATCTGTGATGGGATACAACCCCGGTTTTTTTAGGAGGTAGAAGGCTGGAGAATGTGACTTCCTTCTGGATCATCTCATTTTATTTCTCTTGAAACATCAGAGTACAGACTTTTGGAGAAATGGTTTCATGAAATATCATATCAAATCTGGATTTATGGTTTTTTTCCACAATTTTTCATTTCAACATTTTCCATCGTTACCATCATTAATGATTTGGATCCCTTTTAAGTTTCTGGTTTGTATCTAATTTACTTTAATTTAATTGGAATGTACTGCTTTTCATTCAATATTATAAGCGGTAAAGAGTTGAGTTTTTCCTTTTTTGTGATGCATAGATCCATGGGGATGGATGGATAAATAAATGTGCCAAAATTCATTGGAAGCTATGGAATCAGTCACATGTCAGTGTAACAATGGTCTGTCTTTTCTAAATGGGCTAACAGATTCCTGTTTTAGAGGCTTGTTGGGATTGCCAATAGATTCCTAGTGTCAATGCTTGGATTATTGCTGTTAAAAGAGGCTATGAACAGCAATGCAATCAAGTTAGAAAATGATTCTACCCTCCAGAATCATTCAATTTCTAACCATGGCTTGTCTATGTGAGTACCATATTACAGTATATAGATCAGGAGCTATGATTCTTTCCATTGAACGTTCATTCATGAACAGACTTGACACATGTGCAAATTTTTTACTTTCTTGATTGCTTTAAGTCTCATTTTTGTCGCCTTGTTTGTCTATGGGGAATATATATTTGGTTCTGATTGTAACTCATGATATTGCTTATCATGTACATGAAATTAGTCATTTCCATGGTAAACAATGGGAATTATGAGTAAGGAGGAACAGATTTCACTTTCCCAATTTGTATACATTTATGTATGTATTTAAATTCCTTTCCACGACACTCTGCTCACTTTTGAGAATCGTTTTTTGCAGGTGAGAGTCTATTTGTTGGCAAGCCTGACAACACTATTCTATTATGTATTTGTCATGAGAATGGCCAGATGATTGGATGACAGGAGAGGATGAAAGAAAACCAGGGGACGTCCGGGAATTGAACCAGGGCCTCCTGATTTGCTGGTCAGGTGTGCTACCACTACACCACCGAACCCGGGACATTCAATTGTGCCTCTCAGTGCCATCTATATCATTACATATTGCCTTCAAATGAATGTTTAAATGAAATATTTTATATGATTGCATTGACAGCTTGACTTGATGCTTCAGAGCTATCCTGGTTACAGTGTCCTATTATACCTGTGGCCTCATGCTTTCAAATAAGTTCTTACTTGGTTCTTGATCTATTGTGTTAATTGGATGCCGCTAATAGCCTATTTGTGTACATCTGCTTTTAGGATCAGAATCAGAGACGGGATTCGATGTCTTCTATGCCGCAGACCTCCCTCCTGACTCTCCAGACCAGGATGACCTGTCTTCTATGTTCTTTGAGACCAGTGAGGTCCCTATGATCAACACCTACCAAATCCTGGAGGATGCATGTCCAGATCCCTTCGTCCTACTTTCTGACTTATCGTCACGGCTGGGTCAGGTCAAGTCATTATTGGCTCGCCATCCAGATTGGGAAACGAGAGAGGTCCCACACGGGGAGTTCTTGCGGAGGACATGGTGCATCCAGTTGGGGATGAGGACTCCAGTGGTCACTGGTGTGGTGACTGTTTACACCTACCAAATCCTGGAGGATGCATGTCCAGATCCCTTCGTCCTACTTTCTGACTTATCGTCACGGCTGGGTCAGGATCCCAAGTCATTATTGGCTCGCCATCCAGACTGGGAAACGAGAGAGGTTCCACATGGGGAGTTCTTGCGGCGGACATGGTGGATCCAGTTGGGGATGAGGACTCCAGTGGTCACCGGTGTGGTGACTGTTGTGCGATACGGTGATTCCCTGAGGAAACTGCTTGGTGTCTATGTGGTCAGTGTATGACGACCAGGGAAGCGAACCTAGCATGTGATCTCGTGGTCGGTCTAGGGGCCTCCGACCCGTGCCACAACCCGGTGTGGGACTCGGCAACTTAGCACAGTGGTGTCAGAGTAGATCTTGAGTGTTTGAATTAATTTGCAATCTTGAGTTGGTGCATTCCACTGCTGTGGTTGGGTTGGTCATGTTCTCATGCAGAGGAACTTCCACTTTCTAATTCAAATTCAAGAAATTTCTTCCTAGGTAGTCACATAATGATTTTGCAGGTGCTTTTCTATTAATACATCCAGTAGAATCTGGATGTATGTGAGTGCATTACATGTACTTGCACAGTATTGGAAATTTATGGCTCGTATCAGCTTTTATTCAAATAGAAAATTTAAAATATCCAGTAAGTGATTATATATGAATTTTTTTTTAATCTACCAAGGATAGTGTAATTCCATTTTGTTGATTACTTTGAGAGACTTTGATCACCCAGATCAATTAATAAATTTGTTATAGAGTAAGTTGGAAAAATTTTTTTGGATTCATTTGAAATCCATTATAATTCAGATTCCATTAGAGTTTTAGGTCAACAATTTCTTTCATATGAGGTGCAATTTGAATGAATCTTTTTCTCAAATGTATTTGCCCATTTGCTTTGGCTAATAAGTTTGATATTCTTCATAATCGAGGAAGCACTTGGTTAGAAGTCTGACCCATGAGATCCAGTCACTGCAGTGGAACATATCTGGAAAGAGTTTTTTTTAAAGTCAGGTGATGGCCAAGGTCGATATCCTGTCTTCCATCGAAGCTTGATTTTGCATGCGAAAACTGGGTTCGATGTGACGTCTGTCCCGATCTGTGATTCCGAGTGACAGTTCCGTCGGGTGGATTTAGGAATCCCGACAACCTATGATGAACGTTTCGATATCGAACGACTATAGGCGTAATCGAAATGTGTACAGTGTGAGCATTATTTTGTTTTGTTTTGTTTTTTTTTTTTCATTTTTACCTCAAAGAGAGAATCCATTCAGTGTGATTGAATGTATTGTGAGAATATGGAAGTCTCTGTTGTGATGCCCGATGTTTCGGGGCTCCTGAGAAGGGGAATAGATTCGTATTTACCACTGAACCCATGCCTGCTCTCCTTTTATTTCCTCATGGTTTGATGCTCCATTTTGGAATGTGGTCTCATTCCTGCCTATTTCAAATCTCTGAATTACTAGTATAATGAAGGACATCTTCATGAAGAATATCCTCCTTAAAGGGCTCTCATTTTTGTTAAAGCAATTATTCCAAAAATATTACTTTGAAGAAAAATATTCTTTAAATGTATATTCTTGCCCGTGTGCCTCACATTAATACCTTGCCTGGATGAGGATTAACCCATTTCTGCACAGCGTGACAAACAGGGTGTCCCAGAAACCCTATCACCAATTTTTGTAGAACATTGTGTCATTATTTTTATTTTTATGGAAATGAGTTTTGTATCATTCCAAAGCTTAGACCTTATTTAACATCTGCTGTCATGCCTGATGGTTTGAGATGAATAGTTGTAAGGTATTTTGAAAGAAAAAGTGTATGCTACAAAAACTCTAACATCATTGACCTTGTGAGTTACATTCACTTAGTGTCTGTCCAAATTGGGGGCAGGGTTTCTGGAATGCAGGGATTAAAAAAAAAAGGGATTCATTCTTTTAGCCACTGAAACTGGTTCCCATTTTGTTCATGACACACATGGCATCACTGGAGAAAGTCATTTCTGGCTAATGTCCAAGCTGATGATATTCAGTTAGGTGGAAATGGCACTGATGAGGTAAGGGATATGAGGGGTTTTGAAGCATACAATTTATTGTTCAAAAGTCCTCAGAACCAAAAATCAGAAACCATGACGTTCATCATCAGTCATTAAGAAGGGTCTAGGCTTTTGAATGATACAAAACTTATATTCATCAGAAAAAATTAGGACATAATTATGTACAAAACTGGGCAAGGTGTGTAGGACACCCTGTGCATAACGTTTATAATTTTCTGCCCCTAGTGGAAAGAAAATAATAGAAATGGAATTGTCGCTTCCAGTCCTTCATCCTAGACAACAATTATTCATGTTTCAACTAATGGGAATGTACTATGCTGAGCTACACTCAAGCAATGGTTTAAAAAAAAACTTTATGGTTAGCAAGCAGGAAACAATGGTGTGAAGAGTAATATTTCACTGAGAAATGGGTGAAAGGAATTAGCAGCAATTTTGTAAAAAGAGCATGTTAATGGTGTAGTATTTCAATCCTACACTTTATTTAATGTATTTTTGCCAACAATGTAACCTTTTTGAGTCTACTAAGTTGCATCTGGTGAGAAAAATTGGACTGGCACTTCTGGATATTTCTGACTGGATATCAGCATGGAAAATGTGGGGTTATTATTGTTGACTCATAGATGTTTGTGGATTTTTGATATTGTGGTCTCAGGAAGTGAAACATATGGTCCATACTCCAAATATTTTTTTAGAGTCAACCTTTTGGTTGTCAATAGCAGCTGTTTCCAGACTTCATTAAATTGTGACCGACTTGCTGATGCTCAAAAAATTTGCAACCCATCGTAAACCAGGAGGTATTTTCAATGTAACTATGATGTGAAGAAAGCAGATCACACTTTCGTGCAGGGCATGTTCAATCCTCAGCAAATGCAGCGATTTTTATACTGGGAAATTCTACGCCACCCACCTCGATGCCTCTTGTGACCCACTAGTGGGTCATGACCCACAGTTAGGAAACCACTGATATGGAGTAATTTCTTATCATTTTTCTATGTGGTTTAATTATCTCTTTTCTTAGTGCTGATGAAATCGCATAAGATAAAAGATTCCAGGGAACTTCAAAAGTTCGTTCGAAATTATGTTAAATATTGATTGTTCAAAATGCAGTTTCTTTCATAGTTTTTCAGGGATTTCATTTGATTCAGTAATTCTTTGAAAACCTTTTGCCAATAACACAACATGAAGCATGCATAAAAAAGTGGTCATACTGCAAGTCTAATGATCTCATTAAAAATTAAGATCTGAGAATACCAATTTGGAATGGTTTAGAAAGGCCTGTAAACCAGTGAAATGGTGCTTTCAAGTCATGCAATAATCTTTGGGTCATGATGTCACTACCACATCATTTTTAAAGTTCCTTCATTAATATTTTTCATCATCTCTTCTCAGAATTGGACAAGAAAATTTATTTTCTCTGCTAGGGAATGGGGTACCCAACAATCTAGAAATTTATTTACACCAATATTTTGATGCATATTGATAATTTTTGTGTTAAAGGCAGGCTCTCCCGTCTCAAGTTTCACCTCTACGACAGCATCTGTGAATTTTTCGGTCTTTCGTAAACATGGATTTCACATCCATCATGTTTAGTTTTTCATTTCTGAAATTGGTCAATTGGTCAACCTACATGCGGCTAGTTCTTTAGATTATGTGATCACAACTGAATTATAAAATTTAGTTCTGGACAAAATTCATATTGAAGCAATATTGGCACGTTATGGTTTAATCTCTTTAAAATACAATCTTTCGTAGTCGAGTGCTTTTGGAAAACGTACCAAACCAACATCTGCAGATATCTACGGGTGAAGATGATCTGCCTGGAAAGGGACCACTTCTGTCCTCATGGTACGCTTCATCGTTTTGGCCAAGAAATGTCTAAAGTCCCAAAATCTGAAGAATTCCTTGAAAACAACACCAGAAATAAAAAGGATCAGGTTATATTTAATAGGATTTGGCAAGAATTTTTGGAGTGCCTATCATACTATGGAACCAAAGTGTTAGGGCAATAATAGGTTGTAATGCTAGACTTGCTAATTCCATCAACTTCTTGTTTCCTTATTTCCATGATTTTTTTTTATTGATGTGAACCTATTCATAAGATTTGAAAATTGACCATCCTTAACATGTAATTATTTAACACTTGCTCATTCTATTTAAGAAGTATGAACACCAAGCTGAATGGAACGAGTTAGCAAGAGGCATGGAGGCTCTGGAGCTTCCAACATGGAGAAATGGAAGTAGTTTTAAAGATATCCCAGGCTTTATGATGTCACCTTCCCTGATATGACTTGCTTCAATCCTGCTACAACTGTTCTGGGTTCAATGTAGACTGATACAAAATTGTAGGCATTTGTGAAGACTGTGCTCTGATGGGTTAGACTAAAAAATGTCATAGTGTATTTTCATGAAGATATGACAATAATTCTACATAATGAAATTTTGGCAGAAATACTTTTGGGAATGAAAGATTTTAAAGGAGTTACACATACGTCTCTCTAAGTACTGGTAGTTATAGTGTTAAACATGTTAGAGGGATAGAAAACACTTTTGTGCCACTACGTCAGTGATCACTGAAGCTCATGGAGATGATGCAACTTCCAAAAAATATGTGTCTTTCAGCATGGGTCTTTCCTGTCCAAATGTGAAAGGAGGTGAAATGTAATTGTCTCTGGGTCACACTCTTGTGGATGAATAAGGAATTGTATTTTCTTTCTTTATTAGAGTCTCAGGGTATGAGCAAAATAGTTTCTAATCTGAAAGGTAGAAGAAAATTCCTATCATCTCAGAGGAAATTAGGCTACCTTACTACCGGACTCACTGAGGTTGGGCCTAGGCCTAACCCAGAGAATGATGAAACAGCTGGCCTAAAATGGGCTCTATTAAGTAAACTAATGTCACTCTTTGACTCCTGAACTCAAGGAATTTCAGGATGTCTCACTGATGAGGAAAGTTAGCGTGATAAGGGATTAGTCTCCACAAGGACTGGAGGAGAGAATGACCGGAAGAGAGTGACGCATGTGTTCCGCCATCATCTGTACGGATGTCCAATCACGTAGCCTCTATATTGTAATTGATCGAATGACCTTCATATAATTCTTACTGCATCTCATCGCATAAAATGCATTCGTGACAAATAAATAAAAAATAAAGGGTTGTCACACAGACGTGAAAGAAGAATCAATGCTGAATTGAACGTGACTCCACG